GGGGGGTCCAGGGGGGGCGAGGAGCTGGAGACCGAGCGACAGAGAAACCTCCTGGCTGGTGCGGCAAGTTTTTGAGAGGGAGTAGCAAAGCCGCGGAGGGAGAGGCAGAAAAATGTAATTTTATTTCCTGCAGAGCCCAGATCCGCAGATCCGCGGCTGCCTCCTGCCAGGGGTTAGCCCCGCGCCGCCCTTGACAGCTCCTGCAAATGACCCTCTAATGACGGGCTGGGCCCGGGCTGAAGCGCTGGCGGAATATGTGAGCGGCCGCGGGGGGGTCTGCGCCGGGGGGAACCAGACACGCTTTGTTTATCCGCCGGCTGGGATGTGGATTGGCGATAATCAGGCTGGGCCGGGGATGTGGACTCGGAGCTGCTGGTCCCAGGAGGGGAGGGCTGGGGATGGCCCCGTCGGGCACAGCCCCCCGGGCCACCAGCTGCCAGCCCCACTCGTCCCCTCCGGCCGTGGGAGGGGGCAGCTGAGCCTGGGGGACCCCAGACCCACGGCTGCTGAGCTCGGCCAGACCTGGGGCTTGACCCCTCGCCGCCCCGGGACCAGCGTCGCCCCCGGGCTGGCGAGCAGGGGGGCAAAGTTACCGCCGGGGGCACTTGAGACCCCGGGCAGCGCTGGGGGCTGGAGCTCTCCTGGGTGGGGGACCCAAAGGAGAGCTGCCTTCAGGGGTGTCAAATCCATCGCCAATAGAGCACGGGGCCCTTCCCTCCCCTCCACGGGGTAAAGAGAGGTGGAAAAACCCCTGAGTCCTCCTGGAAGGCTGCAGGTGCGTCCCCGCTCACTCCTGAGCAAACCCCCATCAGGGTGGGACCAGCTTCTTCCTTATCTCACACCAACCTTCCTGTTCACGGAGCTGTTGAGCATCTTTTGCACCATCTGAGGGGACCCCGTTGCTCTGGCAAGTTCCAGTAGCAGCCCACCCGCTCTGGGTGTTACTGGTTTCACTGGTAGCACTGGGTGGTAACGGAGCTGCTGCAGCCAGAGACGACCCCGGAATGGGGAGAACCTCTGGGTGCAGCAGATGCACAGAGAGACGGGGGGAATCTGTGCTGACAGACCTTTCAGCAGCAGAAACGGGCTGTGGAAAGCAGCAGAATCTACCAGGTATTTTTAATATATATAATTTATTGAAGAATTATACATCCATCACCTTTTCATTACCGCCCCATCCAGCGAGTGGTGGAAAAGGTCTGAGCAAAGCCGTGGTTTTACAGAGGAAAGCAGCGTGTGAGCCCTGTTCAGGGCAGGTAGGAGAGTTTCGGGGGGACTCAGACACCCCCCCCCCCCCTGCCTTGCTGCCAGGGGCATCTCGTTTGTCTGTGCAGACCCTCTGCAGCTCCCGGCGAACACACGGTGCTTCGGAGAGGGATGTGGGAGCCCCGGGTCCATCTGTTGCGTCCCTGCCTGTGTGGTCCCGGGCAAGGAGTGGCTGTGATGGAGGCCGCTGCCTCCCCGACAGTTTTTCCGGGGTCTGTTGCTCCCGGGGCCACACTCAGCCCTGCGGCGCAGGGCAGGAGCGGGCTGTGACAAACCCCTGCCTGCTGCAGGCTCTGGACATCAGGCTGACGCATTAAGTTGGCTTAACTGTGATACAAATCTGGTAGAGTTTTAATAGAAATATAATAGAAGTCTTAAGAGAAACGCCTAAACCCCAGGGGACATTGAAAATCCCGACGGTGCGGACACTCAGTATGACCGGACACTGGCGCTGCCACGTCCCGCCAAGAGTCCGGAGCTACGGGCGGTTCGTGTCGCCGCGGGCTCTGTCGTGGCGGGGAGCGACGCTGCGGTGGCCCCAGCCCCACGCCCTGGTGGTGCAGCACGAGCCCCCAGCTGCCCCGGCACATGCCAGCACCGCGGCTCCCGGATAAACGCAGCCGTTGGGCACCCGCTGCCCCGGCGCTGCCGGAGGCGTCTGATGGCCTCTCCCGTGCGGAGCCGGGATCCATCCACGCACCGTGGCCGTGCAGCGCCGCAGACTAACGCCCGGGCACCCCACTCCTCTCCTGGCACAGCCAGAGCTTCGTGGGCTTCAGAGACGCCCCAGTTCTACGCGTTGTTGGACATGGGTTGGGCGGCCAGTCCTCGGGGACACTTTCTGGGCAGAGGCAGGCCCCTTCCCGGCGGGGACGAGCTGGCCTCAGTTGCAGCCGCACTCCTCGATGATCATGTCCTCGTGGTGACGGACGACGATTTCGCCTTTCTCGTAGTAGAGCATGGAGAGGGGACTCATCCTGACTGGGGAGCAGGCGGGGCAGGGCACCTGGTTAGGCTTGTAGAGCTGCAGCAAACTCTGCGGGGAGACACAGGAAGGGCAAAGCATCAGCCCCCGCCGTGGGCTGGGGGACGTGGGGCAGCAGCCCCCCACTCTTACCTGTATGTAAGCGTGGTTCGTGGGCTTGAAGGTCTCGTCCACGGGCGATGGGCACAGCCCTTCGCAGCGGTAGGCGTTGTACTTTTTGGGGTAGACGATCCAGCTGCCCCAGCCCGTCTGCTCGAAGTCCACCATCATGTCCACCCTCCTGCACAAGGACCTGCCCTCCTCCCCTGGCGTGGCCGCGGCAGCGTCGCTCGCTTTGATCCTTTGCTTCTCCTTCCTGGTCCTGCGGTGCCGGCGGGTCCCTGCGCCCTGGGAGCCGCTGTCATGCATGACGTGCTTGGAGGTCTCGGCTGTCCTGATGAGGCTGTGGCCTCCTGGGGACTTGTCCTTGGAGAAGACGAGCAGCAGGACTCTGTCCGTCACGTCCTGGGGCAGGGCTGGCTCGCCGTGGCCAGCGTCGCTCAAGGTGGGCAAGCGCATGGCGGTGGTGGCCGGGGCGGCCGATCCGGTCGCCTCCCTTCCCGTGGGACCATAGTGCCCAGGGGCCACGGCTTGGTGGAGCCAGGACCGGAGCAGGTTGGTGACCTCGAAGACTTTCCAGGAGGCCTGGGTGGAAGCGGCGCTGCCGGCCACAGTGCCCAGGAAGAGCTGGGGGGCGCAGGCCCCCCCAGCCCAGCACTGCCGGCGGCGGCTGTGGTAGATGTCCAGGGAGACGTCGCGGGCCGGGGAGAGGACGCGGAGCTGGGCCAGACTCACCTCCTGGCTGCTGGAGAGGGACGACATGTCGAAGGCGAGCGCCCAGCGGGAGCCGTTCTGCAGGGAGCCTGGAAGGACGGGGTGAGGTGAGGCCAGTGCGGCTCTGCCGGGGACAGGGACGGTGCCTCCCCGCGCTGCCATCGGGGCCCGGGCGGCACGGAAAGTACCCGCGTGCACCCCGAGAGCCGGCGAGAGCACCGGGTACCGCCCGTCCCGGGACAGGGGAGCTCGGGGAAGGTGCCGGTCCCGGGGAGAGGGATGTTTGGGAACCACGCGGGTCCTGGGATAGGGATGCTCGGGGATGGTGCCGGTCCCGGGGACAGTGTCGGTCCCGGGGATGGGGATGCTTGGGGATGGTGCCGGTCCCGGGATGCTCGGGAATGGTGCGGGTCCCGGGGACGATGCGGGTCCCGGGACAGGGATGCTCGGGGATGGTCCCGGTCCCGGTATGCTCGGGAATGGTCCCGGGGAGAGGGATGTTCGGGGACGATGCGGGTCCCGGGACAGGGATGCTCGGGGATGGTGCCGGTCCCGGGGACAGTGTCGGTCCCGGGGGTGGGGATGCTCGGGGACGGTGCCGGTCCCGGGATGCTCGGGAATGGTGCGGGTCCCGGGGACGATGCGGGTCCCGGGACAGGGATGCTCGGGGATGGTCCCGGTCCCGGTATGCTCGGGAATGGTCCCGGGGAGAGGGATGTTCGGGGACGATGCGGGTCCCGGGACAGGGATGCTCGGGGATGGTGCCGGTCCCGGGGACAGTGTCGGTCCCGGGGGTGGGGATGCTCGGGGACGGTGCCGGTCCCGGGATGCTCGGGAATGGTGCGGGTCCCGGGGACGATGCGGGTCCCGGGACAGGGATGCTCGGGGATGGTCCCGGTCCCGGTATGCTCGGGAATGGTCCCGGGGAGAGGGATGTTCGGGGACGATGCGGGTCCCGGGACAGGGATGCTCGGGGATGGTGCCGGTCCCGGGGACAGTGTCGGTCCCGGGGGTGGGGATGCTCGGGGACGGTGCCGGTCCCGGGATGCTC